CCCCCCTTTTCCATCCTCCCTCCCGCGGGTGACATTCCTCTAATGCAGCCATCGCATCGCGTCGGCACCGCCGCTGCAGCAGCAACGTGTTCATCCGTCCAGCCCGGCATGTATGAGAAATAACGACTATGGCTGTGTTACGCGACACGGACCTGCCGCCGTCCTCAGCCGCGGATTAATGGGAGAAACAAAAGACAAAACGATGGCGAATAAGTTCAATCAGTCAGCAGCGACCACACCACTCAATCAATCAATCAATCAATCAATTGGACGACGCAGCGACAGATCAGCGGAAAAGAAAAGAAACGAAACGAATGAATGGGGGACTGCAATAACAACGCGACGTCGTGCATCGGAAGGATTGGAAGGGTATCATTCGGCTAATGAGCACGCGGCGGGGATGGTAACAATAATAGCCGAGCTCTGGCACGGCCGGCACAGCGAGGAGGACAGTAGGGGGCACGAGCAGGAGGGGCTTGTGCGAGCGGGGGGCGCGAAAAAAGAGTAGAGGGGGGCGTGGGAATGCCAGTCATCCGCACAGAAACATGATGATGACAACGACTTGCGAAATTGCAGCGGAAATTTATAGTTGTAGCTTGCGGGGCCCCGGCGAGCAGCAGGCGGTGGTGGTGGAGGGGGCAGAGGAGAGGACCGCGAGCAGGAGGACACAGCGCGGGCTTTACGGCCGAGCCGAGGCCACAGCCAAGCGCACCGGGGCCCTATGGCGGTCCCTGACGGTCCTGACGTACAACAGCCTCGGGAGGCGCGCATCAATAGTGCAGTGCAGCTCCCGTGGCGCGAGGGGTGCCGCCACTTTCTCTCCGCCTCCCTCCTCGTGCAGCTGACGTCAGGACCGTGCGCTCCATGCCCGCCCCGCCCCGCGCCCCAAATATTGCACGAGATGCGGAGCGCGGTGGCGCCGGCGGTCCGCCGCTCTGGCGGGGCCGCTTTCCTCCGCGGCCATCCTCACTGCACACTAAATGTTAATGGTGCCCCATGGATCTGCGAGGGACAAAAAGTGTGCAGAATGAAAGTACCAGGCTGTCAGGACATGAATGTATATGATATCTGCGCATATGTCCAAAATGTGAAGTAAAGGCAGGCGCGGATAAGTAAAGACAGGTGCGGATAAAGGGGGGAGGGTGGCAATCGAGAGGGCATCTCTGCACCGTCAGCCGGATCTTGATCCGCGCCTGAGTGAGGAGGTGAAGTGAAGTAAGTGACACAGCTCTAGATCAGACTCGTTGTCGTGCACTTGAAGTACGGCGGAGTGTGCCACACTGTTGTGGGGCAGCACCACCAGCAGCGCTCTGCGGCGGCGCGGCAGGCGTGTTCACTGACACACATTGAGCACGCCGGCGGCGGCAGCAGCAGGGAGCCGCGGGCTCTACACTCGAACGCGCCGCCAAGGCGCTCGATGCAGACAAGTTGAGCCACCACCCGCCGCAATAGTCACAAATTTAAGGTACAACAAAAACACGACAAAGTATACAACGTCACATGCGGAGGGTGCTGCCGCGTCACTCCCTAAACCTCCCCCGCGGCCGCGTACCAGTTGGGCCGCGGGGGGAGAGGGAGGGGGGGGGGCTTAAGAGTAATCCCCGCCGCCGAGCCGATGTCTCTTTTGCGGTCTCAAGGT